CGTTCTAGTTCAGTTCTAGTTCAGTTCTAGTTCAGTTCTAGTTCAGTTCTAGTTCAGTTCTAGTCAGTTCTAGTTCTAGTTCTAGTTCTGTTTCTGTTCTAGTTCTGTTCTAGTCTGTTCTAGTTCTGTTCTAGTTCTGTTCTAGTTCTGTTCTAGTTCTGTTCTAGTTCTGTTCTAGTTCTATTCTAGTTCTGTTCTAGTTCAGTTCTCGTTCTGTTCTAGTTCTGTTCTAGTTCTGTTCTAGTTCTGTTCTAGTTCTGTTCTAGTTCTGTTCTAGTTCTGTTCTAGTTCTGTTCAGGTTCTAGTCTGTTCTAGTTCTGTTCTAGTTCTGTTCTAGTTCTGTTCTAGTTCTGTTCTAGTTCTGTTCTAGTTCTGTTCTAGTTTCTGTTCTAGTTTCTGTTCTAGTTCTGTTCTAGTTCTGTTCTAGTTCTGTTCTAGTTCTGTTCTAGTTCTGTTCTAGTTCTGTTCTAGTTCTGTTCTAGTTCTGTTCTAGTTCTGTTCTAGTTCTGTTCTAGTTCTGTTAGTTCTGTCTAGTTCTGTTCTAGTTTCTGTTCTAGTTCTGTTCTAGTTCTGTTCTAGTTTCTAGTTCAGTTCTAGTTTAGTTCTAGTTCTGTTCTAGTTCTGTTCTAGTTCTGTTCTAGTTCTGTTCTGTTCTAGTTCTGTTCTAGTTATGTTCTAGTTCTGTTCTAGTTCAGTTCTAGTTCTGTTCTAGTTCTGTTCTAGTTCTGTTCTAGTTCTGTTCTAGTTCTGTTCTAGTTCTGTTCTAGTTCTGTTCTAGTTCTGTTCTAGTTCTGTTCTAGTTCTAGTTCTGTTTCTAGTTCGTTCTAGTTCTGTTCTAGTTCTGTTCTAGTTCTGTTCTAGTTCTGTTCTAGTTCCTGTTCTAGTTCGTTCTAGTTCTGTTCTAGTTCTGTTCTAGTTCTGTTCTAGTTCTGTTCTAGTTCTGTTCTAGTTCTGTTCTAGTTCTGTTCTAGTTCTGTTCTAGTTCTGTTCTAGTTCTGTTCTAGTTCTGTTCTAGGTTCTGTTCTAGTTCTGTTCTAGTTCTGTTCTAGTTCTGTTCTAGTTCTAGTTCTGTTCTAGTTCTGTTCTAGTTCTGTTCTAGTTCTGTTCTAGTTCTGTTCTAGTTCTAGTCTTGTTCTAGTTCTGTTCTAGTTCTGTTCTAGTTTGTTCTAGTTCTGTTCTAGTTCTGTTACTAGTTCTGTTCTAGTTCGTTCTAGTTCTGTTCTAGTTCTGTTCTAATTTCTGTTCTAGTTCTGTTCTAGTTCTGTTCTAGTTCTGTTTAGTTCTGTTCTAGTTCTGTTCTATTTCTGTTCTAGTTCTGTTCTAGTTCTGTTCTAGTTCTGTTCAGTTCGTCTAGTTCTTTTATAGTCTGTTCTAGTTCTGTTCTAGTTCTGTTCTAGTTCTGTTCTAGTCTGTTCTATTTCTGTTCTAGTTCTGTTCTAGTTCAGTTCAAGTTCTGTTCAAGTTCTGTTCAAGTTCTTGTTCTAGTTCTGTTCTAGTTCTGTTCTAGTTCTGTTCTAGTTCTGTTTTAGTTCCGTTGTAGTTCTAGCTAGTGTTGTTCTAGTTCTCTTCTTGTTCTGTTGAGGTTCTCTGTAGTAATCCTTGTTTAACCTCCTTCTCTGCTTTAATTTTTTTTCAACAAAACACAAATAAACATTATCTCTCTCGCTTAATCATAAATCCAATAACAATTTATTGATTTTTATTTTTACTTTTAACTTTCTTTTATTTTTTATTTAAGTTATTTTTATCTTAAAGTTATAAATGCCGCCTGCTTGTGGCAAATTGTTTTTATAAGCTTTGGTGAACTGCAAATTTGTTCGGTTCTGTTTGGGTTCTTTTATCTGAAAGAAATTGCTTCCTTTATTTGCTTGAAACTAATTTATGGCACAAAAAGAAGTGATTTTCGTTTTCTTAGAAATTAAATAATAGAAATGATAATGAGTTCACTGAATGGTAGAAAACTTGAGTTATCGTCAAATAGTGCATTGACAGCCTTCTGATTTAGGGGCAAAGTTTAATTTTTATGAAATTGTTGACAATAAAGTAATAATTTTTGCAATTGGTGATTGTTTTCATTTGAACGCATGTGGAAAGATATGAAATTGATGACAAATTTGATGGAAATTTATAGAGGGTTTACAGTGTATGAAATTTCCTTTTTTATTTCCTCATAAAATCAGCATAACAAATTAAAATTTTGTCAAATTATTTTGTACAACTTTTGGCATCACAAAACATGCCACACATCAAAGCAGCAGCAACAATATTCATTATATATAAACGAACTTTAGTCATGGATTGTGATGACTAGGATTTATTGAAAAAAACCCTTTACTTTGTCTGTTACACCTCCCCTCTGTTTCCTCCTTGCAACATTTTTAACTTTTTGCGTGATACATTTTTCTCCTTTTTTTTTGGTTAAGAGTCAAAATGAAAAGTGTAAATTGAATAAATGAGTTTTATATAGAGAGGCACATGAATGTTGATTGTGGAAGATATTTTGTCATGCTCCATTTAACCGGGTGTGGACAAGAACAGATGTTGTGTATTCTTTCGTCTTGTTTTACAGTGAAACGCATATTAACACGATTACTAGGTTTTTGTATTTTGACTGCAAAATATCATCATCATAGTCATCATTGCTGCCATTATTGTATGCCTTTATTCATTTGTTGAATGATGTGTGTGTGTTTTGCTGATTTGTACAGCAAGGATTTTGGTTGTTGTTTTCTGCTATTGTTCATTTATTATTTGTTTGATTAGGGTGGTGGTATTAATGGTCATATGTTTAAGGTGGGATTATATAGTATTCAATATCAATGTAAAAATAATTATGTTGCAAATGTAATTTGATACACACAACTTTTTTTTCGCGGGTTCTACATGCTAAAATATACAACAAAATATTGGCAAGCAGTGGAGGGCAGAAATAAGGCAAATGTTGCAAAATGTTGTTCCAGTTCCCGCACTCTCAGTTCTAGTTTAAATATACTTCAGTTCTAGTTTAGTTCTAGTTCAGTTCTAGTTCAGTGCTAGTTCAGTTCTAGTTCAGTTCCAGTTCAGCTCCAGTTCAGTTCAAGTTCAGTTCTAGTTCAGTTCTAGTTCAGTTCTAGTTTAGTTCTAGCTCTAGTTCAGTTCTAGTTCAGTTCTAGTTCAGTTCTAGTTCAGTTCTAGTCAGTTCTAGTCAGTTCTAGTTCAGTTCTAGTTCAGTTCTAGTTCAGTTCTAGTTCAGTTCTAGTTCAGTTCTAGTTCAGTTCTAGTTCAGTTCTAGTTCAGTTCTAGTTCAGTCTAGTTCAGTTTCTAGTTCAGTTCTAGTTCAGTTCTAGTTCAGTCTAGTTCAGTTCTAGTTCAGTTCTAGTTCTAGTTCGTAGTTCAGTTCTAGTTCAGTTCTAGTTCAGTTCTAGTTCAGTTCTAGTTCAGTTCTAGTCAGTTCTAGTTCAGTTCTAGTTCAGTTCTAGTTCAGTTCTAGTTCAGTTCTAGTTCAGTTCTAGTTCAGTTCTAGTTCAGTTCTAGTTCAGTTCTAGTTCAGTTCTAGTTCAGTTCTAGTTCAGTTCTAGTTCAGTTCTAGTTCAGTCTAGTTCAGTTCTAGTTCAGTTCTAGTTCAGTCTAGTTCAGTTCTAGTTCAGTTCTAGTTCAGTTCTAGTTCAGTTCTAGTTCAGTTCTAGTTCAGTTCTAGTTCAGTTCTAGTTCAGTTCTAGTTCAGTTCTAGTTCAGTTCTAGTTCAGTTCTAGTTCAGTTCTAGTTCAGTTCTAGTTCAGTTCTAGTTCAGTCTAGTTCAGTTCTAGTTCAGTTCTAGTTCAGTTCTAGTTCAGTTCTAGTTCAGTTCTAGTTCAGTTCTAGTTCAGTTCTAGTTCAGTTCTAGTTCAGTTCTAGTTCAGTTCTAGTTCAGTTCTAGTTCAGTTCTAGTTCAGTTCTAGTTCAGTTCTAGTTCAGTTCTAGTTCAGTTCTAGTTCAGTTCTAGTTTCTAGTTCAGTTCTAGTTCAGTTCTAGTTCAGTTCTAGTTCAGTTCTAGTTCAGTTCTAGTTCAGTTCTAGTTCAGTTCTAGTTCAGTTCTAGTTCAGTTCTAGTTCAGTTCTAGTTCAGTTCTAGTTCAGTTCTAGTTCAGTTCTAGTTCAGTTCTAGTTCAGTTCTAGTTCAGTTCTAGTTCAGTTCTAGTTCAGTTCTAGTTCAGTTCTAGTTCAGTTCTAGTTCAGTTCTAGTTCAGTTCTAGTTCAGTTCTAGTTCAGTTCTAGTTCAGTTCTAGTTCAGTTCTAGTTCAGTTCTAGTTCAGTTCTAGTTCAGTTCTAGTTCAGTTCTAGTTCAGTTCTAGTTCAGTTCTAGTTCAGTTCTAGTTCAGTTCTAGTTCAGTTCTAGTTCAGTTCTAGTTCAGTTCTAGTTCAGTTCTAGTTCAGTTCTAGTTCAGTTCTAGTTCAGTTCTAGTTCAGTTCTAGTTCAGTTCTAGTTCTAGTTCAGTTCTAGTTCAGTTCTAGTTCAGTTCTAGTTTAGTTTCTAGTTCAGTTCTAGTTCAGTTCTAGTTCAGTTCTGGTTCAGTTCTAGTTCAGTTCTAGTTCAGTTCTAGTTCAGTTCTAGTTCAATTCTAGTTCAGTTCTAGTTCAGTTCTAGTTCAGTTCTAGTTCAGTTCTAGTTCAGTTCTAGTTCAGTTCTAGTTCTAGTTCAGTTCTAGTTCAGTTCTAGTTCAGTTCTAGTTCAGTTCTAGTTCAGTTCTAGTTCAGTTCTAGTTCAGTTCCAGTAGAGTTCTATTATTTTTATGTCCTTTACTGTACTTCCTACTTACACATATGAATGCAATTTTGAATTTTTGTTACACATAGATTCTATTTGAAAAATCAGGTGAATTTCCTCTAACATAAAATGGGGTTGATGGGAATGATTAATGATTTCATGGTCAATATTCTGCAAAACAAATGCTTTCAGTTATTCCAATACCTAATAGACAACAATAGAATCTATAAATAAACATCAGCGGAAACTAAAATCCTGTTTCTTATTTTCACTTACAGATGAATTGGCTTTCAGTATCAATCGTCTTGTCAAGACTGAACATTTGCAGGCTCATACAGCAGCCGTTGCCGCGGCAGCAGCGGCGGCCGCTGCAGTGGCAGCCTCCAATAATCATACCCCTACAGCGGCCACAAAACTGCTAATGGAAGAAAACAACAACAATAGTATATCAATGTTAAGTAAAAATCATATTTTACAATGGAAACTGGAAAATAATGCGGCCCTACAACAACCACTCAACGCCTTAGAAGCTGAACGTCTCTACGAAAGAGCCTCACGTTCCCGATCACGCAGTTTATCACGTTCTTCCTCCTCACAAATTGATCTAGATGATGATAGCAATTGTAGACGTTCACTGCAATCACGTTCTAGATCACGTTCCAGTTCGGTGGAGTTGGAGGTGGACTCACCACCCGCTTCACCCATACCACGTAGACACATGTCAAGACCCTCTAGTGTAACGAATAGTAGTAGTAACAATCCAAATAGTGATTTGTTATTGCATAGTAGAACAAGTCCTAAAAAGTCTGAAATGTTTTCGGTATCAGCATTGCTGAGAAAAGATGATCCCCAGAAGTCAACCGGTTTAATACGTCATCCCAATACCGATCCTTTTGAAGCCTTAAGACAGGCCTATCCCACCAACTATGAGCCCGCCATGTTTCAAAGACCATTTCTATCGCCTGCCTTTCCCTTCTTTGCTGCCTTTGCCTTTCATCAGGGTCAACAGCAGCAATCTGGTTTGGGTTCTAGGTAAGTGTTTTTGCTTTCTGCACGAAAATTACATTCATTAAGTTATATTATTAAGTTAATTACTTTATTTTTTGTAACACTTTCTGCATTTGTTTTTCCTCACCAGTTATCATCCTGCCTCCCAAGAAGATCTCTTTAGATTGCGTAATTTAATGGTGCCTCTACAATCAACACAAAATGGTGCTGCACCCAATGCTGTTTCAGCGGCAGCCGCTGCAGCAGCTGCGGCTGGTGGTCATGCTACTAATGGTTTACCGCCAAATTCCCATTTGGGCCTGCCACATCCCTCCCATTTACATTTTCACCATATGGCCGCTAAATGGTCGGGTTTGCCACAATTCAGTGACCTGTATTCATGCATGAAATGTGAAAAAATGTTCTCCACCCCGCATGGCCTTGAGGTTCATTCGAGAAGGACACATCATGGCAAAAAACCCTATGCCTGTGAATTGTGCAATAAGACCTTTGGTCATGAAGTTAGTTTAAGTCAACATAGGTTAGTAGACACACGGACAATACATACATGCATTGCAGTTAAATACATTTATGTAATTAAATATTTTAGTTAAATACAAGTCTATGGTGGCTTTTGAGCATATTTAATTAACATACTAAAAATATTAAGGGTATTCACTTAAACTAGCAAGTAACCAAATTTCTATATTTAAGTTTCCAATAACAAATATTTATTGTTTGTTTTCTCTATAAAAACTTTTTGCTTCTGAGTTTTATTTAGTTTGCTGCTTTCTTAAGTGAATACCCTTATTATACTTTGAATGTTCCGTTAGTAATTGTTTCTGTTTTTTTTTCTTCTTTATCTCTTTATAATTACAGGGCTGTTCATAATGTTGAAAAGGTTTTCGAATGCAAACAATGTGGCAAACGTTTTAAACGTTCTAGTACCTTGTCAACGCATCTTCTAATACACAGTGATACCCGACCATTCCCCTGCAGCTATTGTGGTAAACGTTTCCACCAAAAGAGTGATATGAAAAAACATACTTATATACATACAGGTAAGGATTGAGGATTGCATATAAAAATAACATAATTAAATAGAAAGATTTTCGGAAAAAACAAAGCAGAAATTTAAAGTTTTGGGGTTTAGCAACATGTTGCTTGGAATATTTTATGATATGAACACATGTTTCAGAAACAGGATGTGTTCAGATATCAGTTTTTAATATATTACAAATTTTTATTTAAAAATATTGTTAAAATGACTCTATATTTTCCCTTAGCAACATTGCAAATGTTATTAAACAATAGATTATTATTAAAGCAACATGTTGTATATTAAACTTTTAGTTGTCTTTAATATCATATTTTAAATTAAACGCAAAAACTATATTGTTAAATAAACTTTTTGAAAACGTATTGCCTTTGCAACATGTTGCCAAGACAATTTAATACCATTTAACTTAAAATAATGCAAAATATTTTCAAGAATGATCTTTGTTTAACTAAATTAAAATGTTTGTAATATTGAGTAAAAACTCAAATTAGTAAAGCAACATGTTGCTATGGGTTTTTCAACAAACTTTTACTTCATAGTTTGCTGACAGATCTTAAATGCTCTCTGTATAACTAAATTTAACAAAAAAACAGTATTGCTAAATAAACTTTTTGAAATCGTACTGATTCTGCAACATGTTGCCAAGACATTTTATTAATAATTAAGACTTAAACGTTAAAAAATCTCAAAAATCTTTCCAAGTGATATTTGTTTAACTAAATTCTAATGTTTAGGTTTTACAAAAATTGTGTATAAATGCAAGTTTGTATAGCAACATGTTGTCGAAAAGTTTTCATATATATTTTTATCGATCTTAGATAAATTTAATTTGGCTGTTAAGGATTTTAATGGATCTAGCAAGATGGGGACAACAAAATTGATGTATATTTTGAGCTTTCAACTCAATGATGCAATTCTTTCATTCTTTATTACCCTGTTAATGGTAATTGTTTTGCAACATGTTGACACGGACATTTGATTTAGATATAAACAACAGTTTTCTGTAGTTTATCTTAAAAATAAAGCAGAAAACTGCACGCTAATTAAAATTAGTAAACTTGCTCTGCTCCAGCAACCATTTAAATTAACTTTGTCTTTTGAAATGTTTCACAACATGTTGGGCAACATATGAATATCTGCTATTTAAAGAATTTTAAAGACTATTTGTTTGTTTTTTCTTAAACTCAATGTTTAAAGTGCTTTTAGCAACATTTAAGTTAACTTTTTATTTTCAAATGTTTCCACAACATGTTGGGCAACAAATAAAAGTCTTCCTTTTTATATATTTTCCATTTTAAAGAACTTTTTCTTCGTTTTTCCTTAATTTCAATGTTTAAACTGTTAACAACAACATTTGAATTAATTTCAAAAGTTTCGCAACATGTTGGGCAACAAATGAAAGTATTTTTTTGATACATTTTTAAGTTTTAAGCCCTTTTTGCTAGTTTTTCTTTGTTTTGTGGTTATCTCGCTGTATAAACTGCTAACAGCAACATTTGTTTAAACTCTGCAACATTTTATTTAAACATATAATAAAAAACATATAAATTGTACACAGTTTTACAAAAAAAAAACTTAAAAACGTATTTTTCATTACAAATCGATTTCCCCATTTTCCTTTAACACTTTAAAAACACAAAAATTTTAAATTATTTTAAACACCTACTTACACACACACATACGCCCAAACTTAAACATGCCAAAGCTTTAATACTAAAACAAACACAACAAAAATCTTAACAAATCCAATTTAAAAATACATTAAATCCCTGATATGTTAAATCAGTATCTCTGCTACTGAGAAGCTGCCCCCAATGCAGAACCTACAAACGGAAACAGAAGGAAGGAAACCATACACACACTCATACATACATAGATACAAAATTTAATAAATGGAAAATCAGCACAACTGTAAATGCTAAACCGTCATAAACTTCAACATCTATACAACAGCAACAAAAAACGACTTAACATAAATTCCATAAAAATCCTATTTAGTGTTGATGACATATCAGGCAAAAGAAGGAAGGGGGGTAGGGGAAGAGCAGCCATAAAAAACCTCTGCCCCCTTTTTTCATTTCTAGAAAAAAAATATTAATAAAAACTCCCTTTCGTTGAATGTTAACAAACAGTTGGAAAATAAATACAAATGCACGTGCACCACCATGTTTTTAAAGCAACAACAACAACAACAACGACAACTACTTTTATACCGTGATAAAGCTTTTTTGCATTTTAGTATGAAAAGAGTAAGCGCATTGGAATATAATGGAAGCTCGGGCATTTATATGGAACTGTGTTGGTGACACAGCTATAAAAAAAGAGAAACAATAAAAATTCAATAGACCCAAACATGGAGATAACATGGGAATGATATAGAATGGTTGTTATCAAAAAATACACACACACACACACATTAACAGAAACTTAAACACAACTGGAATAATTATCAAAACAAAAGTAAAACTTTCAAGAGCGTACAGGAATAAAGCAAAGAAATGATAAAAGCAAAGAATAAAAAAAAAAAACAAATCACAGACAACCAATGAAAAATTTAGTCAAAGCAACTTGATTTTATAAGCTTTTTTATAGGAGAGTGGCAAACTACATACATTGATTCAGGGCAATAGTTTGATTTAATCTCAAAAAAACTCACTCAATTTGTGGGCTCTCTTTTAGAGACCCCCTCCCTCTCTTCACATAACAAAATGTTCTGTTCACAGATTTCTAATGGGATTTGAGTGAAATTATTTGATTTCCTTATTATCTCATTTACCCAACAAACTCTCACTCATTTTTGCTAAACTTGAAAAACTCATTTTTTATAACAAAACAGAAAAAAAAAATCATAAAAAAATCTCTGCTTTTCGTTGACTGCCATATTGTAACAGTAGATGTTTGTTTGTGTGTGTGAGCCATTTTACAAATGAGTTTGGGTCATACGTTTGTGTTAGTGGAATGTTAACTGATTTTTTTTTTTGCTATAGCTAGCAGCCATATGTTGTTCTCTTTTGTTCGAACAATTTACTTTAGCCATTTTGTGTTTGAGTGTGTATGTATATTAAAGCATAAGATGGCGTGCTTTTGTGTCTGTAGATACGTGTGTGTGTGTTATTTTCTGTTACCAAATCAGCGCCTTTATGTCTTCTAGACATTTTTATCGTTTTTGTCTTCGATTTTTCAGGAATTTTTACTACTTTGTGTGTTTAGTTTATGTGTTGAAGTTTTGTTTTTAATATTTTTAAGTTTTTTGTTTTTCATCAAAATAGAAAGAAATACCTTCAATAGCTTTAATATTTTATAGTTTACAGCTTTGGTTTTTCCATATTTAAACATTTTAGAAGAAATTTTAAAGATTTTCTATAAAGGAATCAAAATTTTTAAGGAACTAATTTAACATTTAAGAATTTAACAATTAAGTTAAACAAGTTACTTTGATAAATTTTTAAAAAAACTTAATCAGGCAACTTTATACTTTAGCAACATGTTGCTGTGATGAGTATTTTTTGATAAATGAGTTATAAACAAAAAATTCTTAAAAACCACAATAATTTGTACAGTTATGAAGTTAGTTAGTAGTTAGTTATGTAGTTAGATAGATAGTTAGTTAGTTAGTTAGTTAGTTAGTTAGTTAGTTAGTTAGTTTATAGTTAGTTAGTTAGTTAGTAGTTCGTTGTTAGTTAGTTGTAAGTTAGTTAGTTAGTTAGTTAAGTTAGTTAGTTAGTTGTTAGTTAGTTAGTTAGTTAGTTATTAGTTAGTTAGTTAGTTAGTTAGTTAGTTAGTTAGTTAGTTAGTTAGTTAGTTAGTTAGTTAGTTAGTTAGTTAGTTAGTTAGTTAGTTAGTTAGTTAGTTAGTTAGTTAGTTAGGTAGTTAGTTAGTTAGTTAGTTAGTTAGTTAGTAGTTAGTTAGTTAGTTAGTTAGTTAGTTAGTTAGTTAGTTAGTTAGTAGTTAGTTAGTTAGTTAGTTAGTTAGTTAGAGTAGTTAGTTAGTAGTTAGTAGTTAGTTAGTTAGTAGTAGTTAGTTAGTTAGTTAGTTAGTTAGTTAGTTAGTTAGTTAGTTAGTTAGTTAGTTAGTAGTTAGTTAGTTAGTTAGTTAGTTAGTTAGTTAGTTAGTTTAGTTAGTAGTTAGTTAGTTAGTTAGTTAGTTAGTTAGTTAGTAGTTAGTTAGTTAGTAGTAGTTAGTTAGTTAGTTAGTTAGTTAGTTAGTTAGTTAGTTAGTTAGTTAGTAGTTAGTAGTTAGTTAGTTAGTTAGAGTTAGTTAGTAGTTAGATTAGTTAGTTAGTTAGTTAGTTAGTTAGTTAGTTAGTTAGTTAGTTAGTTAGTTAGTTAGTTAGTTAGTTAGTTAGTTAGTTAGTTAGTTAGTTAGTTTAGTTAGTTAGGTTAGTTAGTTAGTTTAGTTAGTTAGTTCGTTAGTTAGTTAGTTAGTTAGTTAGTAGGTTAGTTAGTTAGTTAGTTAGTTAGTTAGTAGTTAGTTAGTTAGTTAGTTTAGTTAGTTAGTTAGTAGTTAGTTAGTTAGTTAGTTAGTTAGTTAGTAGTTAGTAGTTAGTTAGTTAGTTAGTTAGTTAGTTAGTTAGTTAGTTAGTTAGTAGTTAGTTCGTAGTTAGTTAGTAGTTAGTTAGTTGTAGTTAGTTAGTTTAGTTAGTTAGTTAGTTAGTAGTAGTTAGTTAGTTAGTTAGTTAGTTAGTTAGTTAGTTAGTTAGTTAGTTAGTTAGTTAGTTAGTTAGTTAGTTAGTTAGTTAGTTAGTTAGTAGTTAGTTAGTTAGTTAGTTAGTTAGTTAGTAGTAGTTAGTTAGTTAGTGTAGTTAGTTAGTTAGTTAGTTAGTTAGTTAGTTAGTTAGTTAGTTAGTAGTTAGTTAGTTGTTAGTTAGTTAGTTAGTTAGTTAGTTAGTTAGTTAGTAGTTAGTTAGTTAGTTAGTTAGTTAGTTAGTAGTTAGTTAGTTAGTTAGTTAGTTAGTTAGTTAGTTAGTTAGTAGTTAGTTAGTAGTTAGTTAGTTAGTTAGTT